TACAACTGCACTAAGTGGATGAGCATAGTGCACCAGCGAAGAAACCCGGTTTTAGCCCCACAGTGTCGTAGTGGTTTGAGTCTGTCTTATGATGCGGACTGCGCTATATGTTGTGCTATTGGCATACATGTGGTGCGTGAAGTGCTCAATCTGTTCGTTGCGATGGTGCTTTCTTTGTGGTGCTTCATCAATGCACCGATGCGAATTCCAATAGCGGATTGGAGGGAGAGAGAGAGAGAGAGAGAGAGAGAGAGAGAGAGAGAGAGAGAGAGAGAGAGAGAGAGAGAGAGAGAGAGAGAGAGACTGTCAGAAGGACAATTTATTTTTTTAGTACATTGTGTCCTCAACTTAAAGGTTGCATCAGTTCGTTAGGATGGTGCTTTCCTGTCTCTTATACACATCTAGATGTGTATAAGAGACAGGAGAGAGAGAGAGAGAGACTGTCAGAAGGACAATTTATTTTTTTAGTACATTGTGTCCTCAACTTAAAGGTTGCATCAGTTCGTTAGGATGGTGCTTTCTTTGGGGTGCTTTGTCAATGCACCGATGTGAATTTCAGAAGCGAATTGGAAGAGAGAGAGAGAGAGAGAGAGAGAGAGAGAGAGAGAGAGAGAGAGAGAGAGAGAGAGAGAGAGAGAGAGTCCGAAGGACAATTTATTTTGTTATTACATTGTGTCCTCAACTTGATGGCTGCATCAGTTCGTTAGGATGATGCTTTCTTTGGGGTGCTTTGTCAATACACCAATGTGAATTCTAAAAGCGAATTGGAAGAGAGAGAGAGAGAGAGAGAGAGAGAGAGAGAGAGAGAGAGAGAGAGAGAGAGAGAGAGAGAGAGAGAGAGAGTGAAAATGACACTTTATTGTAGGAACATGATATTCCATTGTGTCCTCAATTTGATGGCTGCAAACTGCTTCGACTTATTGTCTTCCTGCTTCTTTTCCTAATGTATATCTTTCTTTTCTGTTGTCCTTTTACAACAATGTTTGCTACAGTTTGCACCACACTTACTGCTGCTCATTTGCACATATACATAAAAATAAGTCACTTAACATGTGTGATTTCTTCAGTGGTTTCCTTGCGACGCTATTTCAACATGTGTTCTTCCATAGATCCCCTTTGTTTGTCGCCTGATCGCACAGATCAAGTTTCTTGTTTCAGCATCGGTGAATGTCATATTTTCCTGTGTCGTCGTTTTCGGTATAAAAGGTGGGAACGAAAAAAAAAAAAAAAGTGACTGTGGAGAAATTCGACATTTTTAATGTTGTCTCGTATGAAAGAGCGAATGCCTAGCTGGGAAGTCGTACTGGATTCACTTCCACCCGGTTTGGTGGTCGGGGATGGCTGCTTGTGGCTCCTTGCTTCGCCATCGCTCCGCCTAAGTTCCATGATTCCCCCCCCCTCCCCACGGAAACTACTTCTCCCTTTCTGCTTCTGTATCTCACTCTTCGGACTCGCTAATGTAATTCTGGAAATTACAGGTTTCAAAAAGAGTGTGTGATGTGAAACCACACTCCATCGCCCACCCGCACTCCACCGCCCACCCACACTCCACTGCCCACCGACACTACGTCGCCCACCCGCAGTCTCCCGTCCAACCTCTCGATGATTGCCATGACCGGTTTCGAGCTAGTCTACTGCCACGTGCACGTGAAAGACGATAAAACAAATGTATACGACATTCCGCCACAATGTAAAAGTTCAATTTTTTTTTAGAAAAGTTTTTTTTTTTTTTTTTTTTTAATACAATGCAAGACTGTGTATTATTCATCACATGACAACACACATGAAGTCACTTGGACTCCAACGACACAGCGGAAACACCTCGATTTTGCGGAAGAATGTGTGATGTGAAGGAATATACATATATATATATTGAATTTGGACAAAACATAAAAAAATCTTCTTCCGTACGATGTCGTGGTTGATTTCACGATTGTTTGAATGATTGATTGATTGATTGATTGATTGATTGATTGTTTGATTGATCAATTGTTTGATTGATTGATCTGTTGCCCTGATTGATTGAGTGATTAGTGGGTGGGCGGTTGAGTGGTGCGGCGGGGCCCTACAACCGTTCGGTGATTGTCATCTTCGGTGTCAAGCTACTCCGTTGCCACATGCACATCAAAGAGGGGAAAAAAAAATTATGCCACATTGGCCGCAATGAAAAAGTTTATTATTTTGTTTTTTCTTTTTGAATGCAAGTTTGTGTAGTACTTATCGCACGACAACATACATGAAGTCCGCTGCCACGCGGCCCCCGATTGGATGAAAAAAATATAATAAATACACCACATTTTGCCGCAATGCAAAAAATTTTATTTTTATTTTTATAATGCAAGATTGAGTACTGCTCATCACACGATAACACACATCAAGTGACTTGGACTTCGCTGTGAACCACAGATCAGCAAAAGAAATCGAACGGGCACATCGCGAGGTCCAAAACAAGTGAAGTTATGGACAACAAACATAGCTCTGATCGAAACACACGATGACGAAATACCACTCCGCATGCTACATCAAAAAGTCGATAATTATAAGCCAACTGTAGCGGACCCACCAGGTGTGGTGCTCCGCTAGTGACACAGATGGAGATGGAGGAAGAAGGGGGAGCAAGATGGCACAACGCAGCTCCCCACGCAAGACTCCAACGCACGCACTCCAAAATGTGCAAGTGAGGAATGAGACTGAAAACAGACAATGGCTAGGGTACACCCCAGCGGACTGACGGGACTGGACTGGACTGGCTGGTACCAACAGAGGTACCGGCCTGGACTGGCCTACCCCGAATATAACACAGTCCTGTGAGAACAGACCAAGGGGCTGGTCTCACAGGCCAACCCGAGGTCCGCTACACGATCCTCGGCCTGTGATGGATCGCCTAGATACAAACATGCTTCCGCCAAGAAGCGGAACTCTACCAAAGAAAAGAAAACCTGAGTAGTCTAGGATGCGGAGCAAGCTCCATGCTGAGTCCATGCGATGCAACCTAGGATATAAAATGTCACAAAACAGCAATGTCACAGCTAACAGCCTAAGTGAAAGTCGGAG